GTGGTTTTTATATTAACACCTGAGTTACACACATTTGAAAATTGTATGGCGGGTGGTGTGTGTGTGTGTGTGTGTGTGTGTGTGTGTGTGTGTGTGTAAGAGAGAGAGAGAGCATAAGAAACAAACTCAGAGAAAAATAGTTCATTTCTGATGTCGGTAATGAAGTGGAAGATGTCATCCGAGTTCCATCAAAGGCTTCAACTAATGCTACTTTCATAAACAGTTTGTGGACACATTCATAAGCACCCATGACTTCAAATTTGACCATTTATATCTAACTCAAGAACTAATTTAACTTCTTTTTGTTTTACCGTCAAATCTCACATGTCCACTTATGACAGTACATTTCCACTCTCCCCAAAAAGGGATGAAATCAGACTACAGAAGTAATTTTATAGCAAAAAAACTTGAAAATAGAAAAAAAAATCCCCACAATTAGCATAAAAGTCGTTTCAGGAGAAATTTCTGGTAGCAAATAGCTTTTGCAAGGCTCCATTAAGATTTACTTCCCTGGTGAGTACTCTGAGCAACAGTTGGAGAGTAAGCAGGGCCAGCGCAACCCATTAGGCGACCTAGGCGGTCGCCTAGGGCACTACAATTTGGGGGGCAGCAACCGCGGCAGTATTTCGGCAGCGGGACCTTCCGCCACCTCTGTGAGGGGCAGCATTTCGGGGCGGGCCTTCCGCTGCATAGAGTGGCAGAAAAGCTGGCGGCGCTCCTGAGAGTACGCAATTTGAAATTTGTAGAGAATGGTTGGCTCATAGCCTCTGACTTATTTCCCCTTCCTATGAGTTTCCCCCATAATTTCCCAAGACACAGCAACTGCCATTGCACATAATATGATTACTAACACAACAGATGCAGTTAGATAGTAATACAGTTGAGAAGAAACATGGTCTAGTGATTCAAGCATGGGGCTGGGACTCAGAAGTTATCTGGTTTCTATTCTTAGATGCTCTACTGTCTTGCTGTGTGTCCTCGGACAAGTAATTTAACATCTCTGTGCTTCAGACTTGGAAAAATGGCTGCTTTAGTGTATCTGGAGATGCATAATCTGAAATGCAAATATGCATCAGGAGGAAGAAATCTGCAAAGCAGTTATGCCAGAAGAACTTAGGGTGCTATCTAACAGCAAATTAGACTTGAGTTTGCAATGCAATATTGCAGGGGGAAAAGTCCAATGCAGTTTCGGGCTGTATATGCAGAGGTGTAGTGTCACAAAAGAGCACTGTGATAATCCTCCTCTCTGTGATTCTCAGGCAACTGCATCTGGAATATCGTGTTCTGGGCACCAAATTACCATAATACTGTTGACAAACTGGAAGGAGTTCAGAGATGAGTAGGCCAGAGGGATTCATTTACTAGGAAAGATGCAAAATATTAATTATGTATAGCTTGACTGTGCTATGACTAATGGGCACATCGTAACAGTCCACAAATATTTGAAGGGTGTAAATATCTAGAAGGGAGCAAATATAACCTGGAGTAATGGGATGAAACTCAGAAGGGGAAATTTTATCTGAACGTTAGAAAAAATGGCAAATCATTAGAGTGTGGAATAGACTCCCTTGGGAAATGATGGAAGCCTTATCTTTTGGCACATTTAAAACTAGACCGGACAAAGTTCTAGTAAGGGAATAATAGGAAACAAACCTGCACTGGCAGGAAGAGAGATTAGCTAACCTAATGTATACCTCTAATCTCTAGATTCTAGGATTCAGTTTCCCCATCTGTAAAATGGAGATAATAAACCTTAGCTATTCCACATTAGTACAGTGGGATTAATTCATTAATATTTGTAAAGTCTTTTGAAATCCTCAAATCAAAGGTACTATAGAAGTGCAAAATGTGATTATTATTATTAATCATCCTGTCTATCTAGAGAGAAAGAGAGGTCTTGCAGCTACTACACTGACCTGGGGTTCAGTTCCTGGCTCTGCCACAGACTTCCATGAGGAAGTCACTTAATTTCTCTGTGCCTCAGTTCCCTGACTGTAAAATTGGCATAATTATACTTTTCTCCCACTTGTGTCTATTTAGATTGTAAGGTCTTTGAGGCAGAGACCCAGAATAAGTACAGTGCCTAGCACAATGGCACACTAATCTCACTTGGGGTCCTAAATGCTTGAGTAAAAAATAAATAAATAAATAAAAATAACAAATAATATCATGGTGTCAATAAAATGTGTGATGACCTAAAAATGTGTCAGTCTCACCAGGAACGTCAAAGTCTGTGCATCGTGGCATATATAGCCTATGGCTGGTTGCACACATCTCAAATAGCCAGTGACTAGATGAGTGGGCCCCAGTGCTTCTGAAGAAGTGAATAAAGAACATACAGATAGGTGTACTGTTTTTAACAACATGAAAAAAGAAGCAGTCTATGATCCCATGCTGGGTATTTATAGCTTCTTGCTTGTGAGAGAAGATACAGGATAGGTATCTGACTGATCAAGTGATGCAAACTGTTGCTCCTATTAATATAATTGCAGCCCAGATGAAAGGAAGGTATCAGAGGCTTTGCAAAAGTTAGCTATTATTTTCTGAGGTCCCAGAAATGGGCCAGGTGCCTCACAAAACAAGTGAAGATACTCTCCCTGCCCCTTTTAATTACTGCTCTGGGCATTAGGAACACTATGCTTGTCTTTGGAAGACTGCCTCCAAAGCAAATGATTTTAAAATCAGAGCACTAGGATGGAAAACATTAGATTTGGGAGTAGGGCTTGTAGCCTCCCCACCCACCCTCTCCAGCCATGCGACCTATGTCATAAGGATTTGTCCCTCTGCATACTTTTATAACATATTCTGGGTCAGGAGGACAATCTTATGGACCAGAGAGTGACTGCAGTGAATGTTTGTCTTTCACTGTGGAAATTGCTTTCATAGGCACTGACATCATGGTAACTTTGCTGAAGTTTATTCTACGCTGCTTTGCTTTATAAATTCTATTTCTGTCTAACCACCACTTTCCACGTACCATAATACATACCCCTCTTCTTCCTCATCTTTATTCATCCATCCCTTAAGTGACACAGATCATCTATGTGAAACACAAGGCTTGTCTACATGGATGTCTAGTTTGCTGCAAGTTGGGATGTGCGTCTACCCCGTGCTAGCCCTCTTTCGAAGAGGACTAGATCAGAGCTCATTAGTGAACTGTTAATACAGGTCAGTAGGGTTCACATGGACAGCTAGTCTGCGGGAGATTAGTATAAAGTCGAATGACTCCCCTGCTTGCTGCAAACTACTTGTTCATGTAGACAAGCCCACAGTGTCCAAGGCAGTTTCTTTGCTCTATCTGTTTTCAATGTGAATTGGAGCCTTTTCCCCATTTTGAACACCCCTGCCTGGGTAATGTGGATTTTTCTCATCTCCAGGAATGCGTTTCAATTTAGCGTGTTGCTTAGCAGCCATGCATTACCAGATCATTCCATTTCTTCACAGTACTTTATGATCTTTGCATCCTTTTTGCTCCTTCATCAAAAGACTGTTGATTGTGATCCAGGGCTTAACAACAAATGGAAAGTGGTGAACCCTCAGGGATAGAAAATGGGCAGTGCTTTCACTAGTGTTTATAGGGCACGTTATGTAGGCAAAATACAATCTTCAGGAGCATCAAAGTCATTGGAGATAGTCATGATGGAAATAGATGTAACTGCAGGATGCTTATTTTCTTAGTGTTGGTGGCACTCTTTTGAGCCAAAATGAACAGTCAAAGTTCAAGGGATATAATGAAGAGGAAAGAGATTAAATTAAGCAAGGGAGAATTTAGGCTCAATAGCAAGACGAATGTCTAACAGTAGGGCCTACTAGACAGTGAAACAATTTCCCAAGGAAAATGGTCACTCAATAATTTATAATTAGACTGGAGATTATATTCTAGCAGTTGGGAGTTCTGAACAGTCTAGGGCACAATCTTTCACTGGCAGAAAGATGAACAAGATGATTTAACAAGTCTTTTTCATCTCTAAGTTATATGGTTCTGTGGAAACCACCATATGCAGTGAGAGCATCCTCCCTATCCAAAGCCCAAGTCAGCGGATTAGTGAGGGAGATTAACTGGCAATTGTGGGATGAAATTCGCAGCCTGTGACCATGGGAGTTCAGCACAACCCACTGCTATCACTGTGCCAATTTATGGGCTGAAACAAAGCTTATTGCACCTCTCTGCTGTAGAGTAGGCCACCCCCAATGGACTGTTCCATAGATTGTAGAGGGTGGGGCTTTTCATGTGAGATATTGAGGCCCTTTGGGAAGTCGAAGTGCAGTGCTCTGTACCTTGCAGGGCTGGGCCCATGGTGGCGAGGCTTCT